TATATGCTATTCTAAAGCACACTTAACTGTGCATTTATGAAGTTTATCTGACTACATTTATCATATATAACTTAACAGTGGAAATTGTGTGCTTATAACATTTATGATTGTTAATGATGTAAGTTAAAATGATGCCAAATGGGAAATTACGTCTTACATACACTTCGTGTTATTAGCGACTCTGCCCTTGATTTTCAGTTAAAATGGTTTATCAGTCATGTATATTTTAAATATTACCTCTTCTTTTTGTATAAACGCTTGAATAAATTGGTTTGTGTTCTGTAAACATTTCTAGTATACATTTTTACTGCTAAATTCTCACAACTTATAACGTTTTTAATTGTTTACTTTTAATCTCCGACTTTCGTTCACCAAACAGTATTATGTAGCCTATAAAAAGCGTCTTTCAGATAATCTGTTACTTAATATACAGTGACAATTAATATAAGAGCTTTTTACCAAAACCTATTTACTTTCAGATCTGAGTTAAGTAATCAAGCCATTTAGCCTAGTTGGTGCATAGACGTTTCTGTTATGTGGGGAAGACGTTGATTCCTGAATAGCACAGTAGCAATATCACCGATAGTTTTATTTGGTGACTCAAGTTTGCATCACACAAAATGTTAACAGTTTATTCAGATTTGCAGTTGTGCTCTGTCAGTGAGCACTAGGTAGCATAAACTCTAACCTCAGAGCCTCCTACGTATAGCATCCAGTAACCTAAAATTAAAATGTGATACCTAATTGTACACATATTAGTTTAATGCTTATTTATTGACGGAATTCTATGCGATTATTCGATAGAAAATTATCGGAGAGTTTTTATTTTAGTGAACTCTGTACACTGTATTTCAGATCATTCATAACCAAACATGCTGATCATATTAATATGAGAATTCCCAAACATGAGATACTTATGCCTAGCAGCTCTTACTCTAATCCTATGGTCATACGAAAACACTTTGGATTTCACGTTACAAGCTGAAATGATCTCAAACAGAAATTGTATAATTAAAACTAGTTTAAACTGATTAAACGACTTTCTTTTTAATTTACAGACAATTATATTTCGATGTAAAAGTATGTTATAGTTTACATACAAATGAAATGTTGTACAATGTGAAATTGGTATACAAATATTGACCGTTTAATTACTGAGATACTAAATAGGTTTTTGCACATTTGTTGAATTTCTGTCTTCTATATAACATATTGGTTAGCGATTTTTAGCGACGTTATTGTCTACGATATGATGTTGCCGACCCCATACCCAATCCTCCTCCTTCACTTGGATTTGGGACCGGCAGTAAACCCAGGAGAGCTACAGGCGAAGTTGGAGGGAGAATGCTGGTGAGCAGCCTATGCTCCTCCATGAGAGGTAACAAGCGTAAGTAATTATATAACATGCTGGTTGCATATTTAAAAAAAAATAAACAGACAGATAATCTTGATGAACATGACACTTTAAAAACTGTGTTCATGAAGAATTGCATACAATCGCAGTATGAGAAAAACAAATTCCAATTCATTATAAACTGTTTACAACTGAGGGATGGTTTTTATAAAAATAATTCATTATATGAAATACATAAGATAAATCTATAATTCATAGTTATTCATTGTTCACTATCATGAAAATGCATTGATATAAAACACTTTTGGTGATTTATAAGACAGGATTTGAGTGCCTAATTTCTATAAGATGCATACTTTTTTGGACTAATGATATGTGATCATTTAATTATAGATTGACAAGCTATTTAACTAGTTCACTACATCAAAGTGCTCCAGCCAAGACATTAAGATAATACTTAGTCATTTTGTAAAATGTTATCCTAATGTTTCATCAAGTTAACTTATCAAAAATGTTAAACTCTAAATATTGAGAGGTTCTATTAAGCGTCTCTAGAATGTGAACATTTAGATCAGTGTACAAAATCGATTGTTAATTCATAGGCCTTATAATGAAAATCGAACGTTAGTTTCAAAGGCAGTGTAGAAGTGGAAGGAAGCAGCAGTTGACCGGTAAAATGCTCAATAACTAAATAAGTTTTAAACATGGGTCACCCAATCTTAACAGACTAATCATTCATGGTCAATTTGAAAACAAGTCAAAAATAGCTAAGTATAGTGCGATTTCACATCTTCGCCTTGTTGAGGATTCATTTAAATATATAGAGAAGCCAAAACTATTAATATACAAGACACTTACACTAAGTTATGAAACATCAGAAAATCTAGTTTTTCTACTCATTGGGACATTACAAATATATTATTTATTTACAACAATCTACCCAATGCTCAATTTATTCGAAATTATCAAATCAAACCTTGGTAATGATACCTACAATATACAAGACACTTATTCAATCTCTTCTATAATTATCTAAATCCCTTGTTTTAAAAAAAATTCTTCTGTCCTTCTCTCTTGGATCGTTAACCTTTTATCCTTTGTCAACTTAACGCCGCTGCTCTATACCTTTTCTGATTAGGCTTTGTTTCATTTAAAAGCAGTTATCTCATCATGGTATATACTTCTATTTTATAATTAGTTGTCTTTATTTGACAAAAATGATTTAAAATTAACGACAATTCAAAGGTGTACACTCTCTCCTTATTAAAATGTGTTAATGTTCTCAAAAGCTTCTATATTAATGAATGGTTTCTGATAACATTATTCAATCATACAACTAGTAAAAAATGCCGTTGATGTAAATGTTTAATAGAATAATGAAATCTACATAACCGCAGATTATAAATAGTATGTATCCGATAACATGAACTTTTAATTCACTAAACGATAAACTAATTTTCAATGAAAAGAAATTAAGATCAACACTAAAACACGATTGATAACTTCCAAACATAACAAAAAGTATGTCCTGGATTTTCCTGCGAAACACTACTCAATAATACTAAAATGAACAAGAACACAAGTGGAGATAATCGAATGCATTTCAGTACAAAACTACACAACGTCTTAGTAACGTCTGGGAACCATACATTAAATACTTTATTTACAAAATATTCATTAATTGAATCAGACTTCATTGTTCCCGCATTTCCACACCAATTGCTTTCTTTTCCTGTTCTTTCCTTCTCGATCTTTTGCTACCAGACATTCTATTCCTGGCTAGCTTTATATACTACTTATGTCGACACAACTAGCACACACTACAATACAATTAATAACAAAGCAAAAGCAATTAAAGCACTATATTCGTCATATTTGACAGAGTTTCTTTGCTTTATTTTTTCTGGCTAACTGTGGTGTTTGAACGAACTAATAATACCTTTGTACTTGTTGAATGCTCGATTTCGAATTCCAAATTCAATACATTCGTTTGTGCTTGTGTCTCACTTCTTAATTCAGTTGCGTTATTTCTGAGATTCCTAGTTCATACTACAATTCAAATAATCCAAAACATTATACTAACTCAAATATATGATTAGGTTATTCTAACTAATGCATTCAAATATTTGAATAGACATTTTTTCGTGACAGTTGATAATCTAAATTGAATCGTGGTTTAAATTGGTTGTTAGTAAACAAAAAGGTAAAACAAAATGTTTCATATTCATATTATGATTAATTATCGTATACTCAGTAATGATCTATTTCCTTGGTTTTGATCAATGTTCCAATGTTTATTTAGGTAAATAATTTGATATTACAGTAATTTTAGTAGTTGAGATCATGAGTCAATTGAAGCTAGATCACAATGGAAAACCTGGAAGCACTGAACAGCTGTTTCGTCCTATTGTGGGACCCCTCAGTAATGCGCACCCACGATCCTACCCCGCGGGATTCGAACCCAGGACCTATCAGTCTCGCGCGCGATCGCTAAACCACTAGACCACTGAGCCGGTATCCAGTGGTGTTAATATCTAACTTCAACTAATCTATGAAATAGAGTGACAAATCCACCATTGTCTTGAGTGAGTTACTATTGTTTAGTTTTTGTTATATAAAATCAAATCAGAGTGAATTTCGAAACTTTAAATAAACGCACATTTCTGTTGTCTAACTAAGTTTAATTGAGATTTTTTCTCCAGAAATTCTAAAAAACTCTTACTTACTTACGCCTGTTACTTTTAATGGAACATAGGCCGCAGACCAGTATTCTCCAACCCACTCTGTCCTGGCCCTAAAAAACTCTACTTCCACTCAAACTTATCAGTGTTTCGACTAAACTATTTCATTTCAACAATGGTAAATAATACATATTTCCATTTTGAAATAACCCTTACATTTCTAAAATGATAACATTAAGTGATTACAAAATTCTAAAACTCAATATTATTTTATTTGTAAACACAAGAATCTATTAAATTATCTTTTCTATAGTCTATCACCATGAAATAAATCAATGGAAAGTCATCTTTTAACAAACATATATCACCACATACTTTAACATAGTTTCATTCTAGATAGTCAATATTATCTATAACGTGTTTCAAAGATCACAGCAAATAACATTCTAACAATAACTGTTTTCTTTTCTTAATGCATTCACATCAACATACAATAATACATAGTTTCTAAACCATAGATAATAAGTACAAATGAGATAGAGATGAATAAGATTCTGATAAAAGTAATATTAACATTGACTAATCAGTGTTTTAATTTCATTGTGTATTTGGTTGTTTGTATACTATGAAGTTAACAATGACTGTATATAATCGTACAAAAACATGGTTCTTTCTTAAATCTCTAATACAATCCAATTATAAATAGTACTCTAAGTATACATAGATATATGTGTACTTGTACATAGTCACAATTGTGTATGTTCATATGCTCAAATAGTTGACTTTACAAATATGTTACTAAACATATAAACAATGAGTGTACTTGATTCGTTTTCTTTCTTAAAATATATATATTTAATAGTGTCTTATTAGATTACTCTTTCTTTTGTATATTGATTATACAGTTAACATTCAGTTTGATCCTTTTTTATTATTAAAAAAAATAGTATATCTAAAATTGAAACATGTCGTTTGGTAAAGCTGTTGTAAAAAATGCTGATATGGAACCAGTTATGCAAGAAGATGCTGTACAAATAGCTGCTGTAGCACGAGAAAAATATGAAGTAGACAAAGATATTGCAACATATATTAAACAACATTTTGATCGAAAATATGGACGTACATGGCATTGTATAGTTGGTAAACAATATGGAAGGTAAACGTTCTTTTTATTAAATAATAAATCAACTAATATTCTGAATGTTAAATTTCTATGGAAGTATCTTTATAGAGAAAATTCTGTTGAGACTAAAGAATTCATCTCTAGTGATATAACGAATTATGCCAGTTATTTAATATGATGTTAAACTATTAAAATCACTCAGTAGTACATAACTTACTTACTTACTTACGCCTGTTACTCTTTATGGAGGAGCATAGGCCGCTCATCAGCATTCTCCATCCAACCCTGTCCTGGGCAATCCTTTCTAGCTTCTTCCAGTTGTTATCCGTTCTTTTCATATCTGCTTCCTTTTCCAAACGTAAAGTGTTCTTTGGCCTTCCTCTTTTCCGCTTCCCTTCAGGATTCCGTGTTAGGGCTTGCCTCGTGATGCAGTAGTACATAAAGATGGATATAATTTATCTGATAGCAGAATTTACAAGTATTAAGGATCGAAGGTTCGGTCATCGGAAGTGAATGTTTTTGATGGATGATAATATGTTTATCTATAATGATATTAAACTAACTTTAGAAAGTTAATTCACATTTCTTAACGGAACCAGAACTTTAACAAATGGTTTTCGTATATATATATTGTGAGATAGTAACTCACTGATGACAATGGTGGATGGTGGCGCAACTTCATGGATTGATGGAAGTTAGACATTAACACTATTGCATGCCAGCTTAGTGGTTTAGGGGTTAAGCGCTGGAATTTTTTAAAAATATGGTGCCAGTTTATTCACAAACTTAGATGATAACCTCTGTGACACAGTAGTACAGAAACTTCAGAGCACTTAGCTGAAATTTTTATAAATATTTAAATAGATTCAATTTAAATATTAAACTCTAATATCAGAACATTGTAACCTGAAGAAAGTTTATTTAACCAAGAGCATTTTCCACAATATTAGTAACATGATATTAAATGCTATTTTGCTAATTGAATGAAATTGAATATTTTCATTAGTTATTCAATGGTATGAGTTATCTTTGAGCCATGTATGAGTTTTCAATTTGATCTTTAAACCAAATCAGTCATTTATAAATTTTAAAGAATTCTAATATACTATTTTGGTTAATGTTGTCGTAGATATTACATGATTTAGAGTAGTTGTTTAACTTCTGGTAACTAACACCTTTGTTTAAATACGTACATATTTTAGTCTCCTTGTCTCAAGTAATTTTATCTTAGTAAGTTTTTCTTCATTCTTCATTATGAATCTTGCTTAGTTCTTTACTCAATCAATTACTCATATGTTTTTCTCTTCTTTTTTAAACTGTATTTCGATATATCAAGAGTTCATGACTTTTTATGTACTGTTATTTAGAGCAAACTTAGTTCATCATTAATTCAGGAAATGACCAATTGTCCTTCTCCTTTTTAACTATATCAGTTACATACAACAAAAGCAGTCTGAGACAATCATTTAGTTTTAAATTGTTTTGCAAAAACAATTTGGATAAGCAAACTTAAAGTTTTAGTTTGTTTATTCATAAAGTGGTCTTGTATTGACTGCAGTAAGGTATGGTCTCCATTTGATTTAAACAAATTTTAATACATTCAGTCATTTACTTCTGTTGTCTACAATAATACCATTCAAATAAGATCCTGATTAGGACTTACTTTATGATCTTGTTACTAGTTTATATTTTACATCTTTTTTTAGCTAGACATAATAATTTAAGTGTTTATTCTTCGAACTGTAACGATGGTTTAAATAGTTTTTACTTGACTAAGTGCTTGCAATGATCATACTGTTTGTATTCCGAAGGTAACTTTACATGCAATACATTTGAAGATATACTCACTTTTGATGAAGCTCGTGATTGAATTTAAAGTTCAAATCAGTAACTATGATTGTTATTAACACACCGTTAATTGTTCAATATTAAAACATGATTAAACTGTAATCCTGAGGGATGTAACAATTTATGAAGGAAGCTTCCAGTTTCCATCAAAACGATAAATTACATCATGAAATGCGAATCTATTCAAATTTTAGACGCATGTAAACTATTGTTCGTGTACAAGTAAAAGTCAACATGTTGGCAGGTTGTATATATGATCAACTGAAAATAGTTTTCATATACTTAACATAATACATGATTAGTTGATAGCTTAAATCACATTTCTGAACTTAAAATATTTGCCGAATCTTTCATTGTAAGCCTGATCGAAATCTCCTACTATGACATTAATATGAAGTGGAAATTTCAATTTAGTCCTTTACATTTATTGTTCATCGAGTAGTAATAAATGTGATGCTTGTGTAATTCATAGTGATGATCGAATTCTATCGATCGTTTGGCAGTATGTCTAATAATCTGATTGAATCGGCATCACATATACTGTTAGGTGATTAAAAACAGTCATCAGGTAATCTTAGGCTTATGTTTTGTGGCAGTTAACACGTTTTGACAGGATGTTCAAGCATTTACATTGAATAATACTCAGTGACTAATCAACGTTAATACCTCACCTTGGAAACACCATTTCCTTGAAAACTTCAGAAATCGCCTGTTGAAGTTTTCTGTCGACTACCTCCAACGACCTAGCATCAATCTACCCTTTCATTTCAATATGTTTTCTGCTTCTCTGAATTTAGTTAAGTTAAACATTTTGTTAATGTTTTGTATTTTTTTATGGGCTCTGATTTCAAAGCTTTCAGTAGAGCGATCTTTTGCCATTAAATTTATAAAAATCATTCTACTTAACATTTGTTACTGTGCTACTCTGTCATCTAATCTAAAACTCCTACATTATCTAGAAAATGGCAAACAATCTAATTTACGGAATATTGAAAATTATCTACTAAAGCTGTGTATCATAATGGGTTAATAGTGTAAATGTTAAAAGAATTTCATAAAATACAACCAGAAATTGTTATCAGACTGTTATTTAATGCTAATGATTCTTTAGATGTGAATATTCAATGAGTTTTGCAATTTATTCATCTGCGATATACAATAAATAAGTAGAAATGACCACGACAATATCTCCCAATCACCAGCTAAAGATCAATTATTGAGGATTATCTATTTTGGCTGAGAATATTTTACACTTATCTTTATTTATCTTTGTAGTTATGATAATTAAGACTATCATTACCCTGGACACTAAAATGACAAACTTAAATCAGTTTAAACCATTCATATTTCCAGTTCAATAAAATCTGAAAACTAAAAATTGATTTAATTCATCGAAATGTCGGTAAAATAGTTAAGCTTTTTCATTATGAATAATAAAGAAGATTGAATGTTATGGTCTCTCTTAATTTAGTTTAGTTTTTATTTTACCGATCAATCCATTAATATAACATATGCGATTCACAATCAAACCATCTAGCTCAAAGAATAAAACTCTATCAACATCTTTCTATTTACACATTTACTTTGATACTGAACAATCTTTAAAAATCAATTCATGTATTAAATTCATTATATATTCATTATATAAAACCAAATTAAACTGTCACTGAAACTAGTTCTATGTTTGTAAGTACGAATTTCACTTAATGTGCTATTCTGAATACAGTAATTAGAACGGTATACATAAATAAGCGTATAACATTAAACTTCACGTGAATACAAGCGGAATAATTATTCTTCAGAAATCGAATATATATATATATATAATATATATATATATACGTCATATTAATTATGTGTGTAAACATCTATGTATATGTCTAGTATATGTGAGAAGATACTGTATACACAAAAAATTCGGTACAATGTAAATTCTGTTTTCACATTAGCTATTACATACCAGTTTCAACCAGATATATGTTACTTTCCAAAATGATTTACAAAGTAAATACAAATAGAAACAAATAGAAACTTTAAAATCAATTCATGAAATGAATTAATTAACAGTTAATTTGAAACTTAGATCGTGTGAGTATAGAAACTGTTAGACCAAAAAAAAAGAAAAGAAAAGACAAACAAACTGAAAGATGCAATTCAGTAAAGTTATAGTGAAAGATACTGATATGAATGATGAAATGATGGAATTAGCAATACGTGTTACAGCATGTGCTATGGACCGATTTCAAGCGGATATGGATGTGGCTAATTATATTAAAACACAATTTAATAAAAAATATGGTCGATCATGGCATTGTATTGTAGGTCGACGATTTGGAAGGTAAGATTAAATCACTCATTACTTTGTTTTATGTCCCAAGTTTATTTTATCTTTTGTTATTAATGTTGACAATATCGTATTTCATCCATTATTTTTTTATCATATCTTAGTGATGTTTCCCATGAAGAACGATCCTTCATATACTTTTTTCTTGGAGATCGTGCAATTTTATTGTATAAATCTGGTTGAAATCAGTATCACATCAATAGTTTTGATATAAATACCGATGTTAGTAAATGGCAATGTTCAAAAAGAATGAAATCATCCATTTGATACTCGTTTTTTTTTATCTCAACAATGTATCCATAGTATATTTTGTTGTTGTTTAATTTACTGTAGACTTTTCTTTTAACCTTTTAAAAACTCATAATATTCTGTGTTGATAGGGTATCATTTTAAAATATTATTATAGTAACCATTGTAAGTTTATTTCTACAATCATGATATTGTTATCTTTATATTCAATAAACTGATCAATAAACTGTTCAATTTACTTTTGATCTTAACAATTGTAAATCATTGGGAATTTTATCAGATATGAAATACTCTTAAAGTATATTACGGAATGAATTGACTTTTTTGTACTCACTGAGTTGATCTTAATCAATCAGAATCAACTAAGTAGAATAGTGCAAAATATTACAAAAAGTGATTTAGAACAAGACCAATGTGTGTTGATATATATATATAATTTGCACAATAAACAGAGAAGATGAGAATGATGAAGATGTCATGAACATTCAGTATAAGTGAAATATAATCTGTTATATCAAAACATGCTTAAAATGCTGTTTGTTTATGAATTTATAGCACTATGGAAAACATAGTTTTGTAAGAAATGGGTTAGTTAGTATTGGAATTTCATTTTTGATGATGGCAGATTTATCATTGTCAAACGAAATTATCTTTTTAAAAGATTCTCTTTTAAGAATCCATTGATAACGGCTTTACCAAAATATAGTTATACAGTTACTAAACAGTTTACAAAATCTATCAAGCATAGTACAATGCATAAACAGTAATTCTATACGGTATATATAAGCATATTTAAACATAGTTTTTATTATGTCCTATCATTGACCAGTACACATGGACGATTTTAAGCAACTCATAAGCAACAAGGATGAGAGAGGCTGATACTCTTTGATTGATGGTTTACTCATTACTAGTCGCGAACGAAGATGAAGAACAAAAGACTAGTGATCACCAGTCTAAGACCTTTATTATATTTCAGACATTCATTTATATACATACTAGATCAGATCATTTAGCAGTATTCCCATGGAACAACAACATTAATGATGAGAAAAATGGAGTACTGGGTACACAAATAATCGATTCTCGTTAACGAATGGAAAATGTTAAAGTAACAATAGCTTCGAAACCTTTTACCTCATAGTTAAATCGTCACTTACTACAGTTTTAAAAATTGTTAGATGATAAATATTCAGACAGTTGGGTCAGTTTGCATACAGTAAATATATGATGATAAATTATCTCTCAAAACTAAAAGCAGCTAATCGAATAAGGTAGGAATTTCCTCTTGCCTCCTTATTTTAAAAACGAGTTAAACTGTGAGCAATAAAATCAGAAACGAAGACAACGAGTGCTAGTGTACTTAATGCATAAGAAAAGCTCAAATATATACATATTGACAATAACTGCTTATGAATGTAAACAGAGTGAAATTCTGAATGATTGACTAATTAATTCGAAGAAGAGGGATATGATCGTGGTAATAAGTAATTCAATTTTCGAGGTGTTACAAGTAATTGGCTTACTTATTACAATTATATCTTTCTTCCAACCATTTGATTTAATCATTCAACACTATGGATTTGAGTCCCGGAGTGAATATCAACTCTGGGATGCAGATACATCCAACTGACGAGTCCCAAATAGGACAAAACGTGCATCCTGGATTCCACTGCTCGCCACCGTCCATCTTTGCTATAATACTTGTGAATTAAAGCAATATTGAAGCAATCCGCACAAGATGCACATAAGACTGATCAAGTGCGGTTCAAAATATCAATGGGAAGATTCAAAAAAACAACATCAAATGAACTTAAACTTGTGATATGAATAAATTATTTAATACTACTAATCCGTTAGTATCGTTTTGTTGTTCTAAGAGACACATATATATGAGTGTAGAGCTATGATGACGAACTAATTCGAAAGAAATGTTTCTTTGCTTTGTTTGTCTTCCAATGAATTAAAGTTGGTAAAATTGGAAGAGACTACAAAACACAGTCTGGGCAAAGTTCTATTGTTATGTATCATAAAAAACAGCCATTATTCTGATGCTTAAAGAGATGACACTGTCAAAACAATAGAAAGATCATTTCTGTTACTGATTGTAAAGCATTTTCTTTTAATAATCTATATTTAGGACTAAAATTAGTCAGTCTCTGTTATTAAGTATATTCCATGAACGAAATCCTCTCTGTTACTGGTGTCCATTTAGTATTAAAATTATCAAAATCACTTTCTATGTTATTGTTTGATGTTTATTTGAAGCTAATCAATACCGCTCTTTCAAATAAGTACAATAATTTTGTTCATCATAGAGCAAAACTAATTATGGCAATTAAATCAGAATCAAGATAATGAGTAGATAAGATAATGAGTAGAAAATATGTTTTCGATTAATATCATCTTGATTATAAGTAAATAGTATATTTCTAGTATCCCAATGAGTAGAAAAATTAGATTTTCTGACGTTTCGTGGCTTAGTGTAAGTCACTTCTTCAGAAGAAGTGACTTCAGAAGTTTGTGTTGAGAACAGAGAACAAAACTTCATCAAAATCATCCACCTGAGCTACAAATCTCCATTATCTCATAATTATGTTATATCCTAACTAAGATTAAAGTACGAGTAACTTCTGCGAACTATTAGTGGAGTAATATTATCTATATATTCTTATTGTATAACTATTCAGTAATTAGATTGAGTATGTCTATATTCCTCTTATTATAAGCTTCATTTTGACCTTTTGATTATTATTGTACGATTTACTGTTCTTAAGTTATACACAGTATATTAATTACAACAAGTCGTTGAGAAATATGGTAAGCTCTTTGAAATGCTTATGAGGAGAAAATTTGACAATTTCTACTTCAGAATCATTAATAACCTAGTAAGACTTTACTTTCTCCGACGCTTGCTTTTTTGTTGTCTACCTTACCATAGAAAAAGTGACTGGTCATGTAAATAAGGACAGAGAAGTGACAGAATATGTTTACTGTAAATTCTTTGTGGTTGTATGTTTAACTTAACATGTAGTGTCGGCTGCTATGTTAACCCTAAATAGTTTATTCTAGCTTCCGGATAAGCCAGTTTATTCATCCTTCTCAAGTTACACTGTGACCTTGTTAATTATTCGCTTATCAATCTTGACAGTTTCTATGTGAGTGTATGTATGTGCATTCCCTTTGTTATTCATCACATGCCTGTAACTTATTTTTTTCAGCTAGGAAATATCAATTAACGATCGATTAAATTGAGTTGACTAACTTACCTTCTCCACTGCGTGTTATTTCGCTTCGTTGAGTGTACAAAATATGAGTATTTGAAATTCATTCTTGTACTTGACTTATTTAATTGCGTTATACACTGATGTAATTTAAGTCGATGATTATAATCAAGGATTGGCGAAACGTATATTTCGATAACAATCATTCATACGATCCAAATGGAGTGAGATAAAAGGGCCAAAAATGTATATACAATTCACAAACTTAATTTTCTGCATCAAATATTGTTAGTCCTTTATCAGTAGAAATGATGTATCAATAAACGTTTGCACAATTTTTTGTTTTATCTTCATCATAGTTTCATGGGCAGATAAAACGATAATCTTAAGGTTTATCTGTTTCTGATGACTAGAGATTATTAAGTATTTGCATCATAACATCTCAGTTCGTCATGAAAACTTGCAAGTACTGCATCAGTTTAGATGCTTCGCTGAAACGTTGAGTCGTATATATAATTTTATTGACAATGACAGTATATTTGGATGGATACTAGCAAGGTTGCGAAAGAACATGAACTTTCACCAAGCTTTCACGGATCTGAGACACTATGCATTTTGCGCTCGTAATATGCGTAAATTTGTTATATTTATATTTAGAAAACCCATTAGAAGATGTTAATATTAAACAAAGTTATCGTTAACCCGTAAATCGTTAGTTCACTTAATTTCCCTTATTCAGCGATATGCTTCAGCTTATCAATTAGTTGAAGGAAGACATGTGGAGATATGCATGACAAGCTTATTTTGTAAACAGTTTTTGGTGTTATTTGTATTTATTCTGTCAATTTTTCACTGCATGTACATTTTTCATTAAATGATTGTACGTGTTGTTTATGACCTTGAACACCTTTTCTTCCGTCGTGTTATTTTCATAGCATGACACACGCTGTCACGTACTAACAAATACACTGTTACACACATACCTCTTGTTCTCCATTCGCTCGTGATTGTGTTAATTGAACTCTAACTTAAATACCGTTCACATTTATAGACTATAATCGAAATATATCATATTCTACATTTGGTTATACCACTGGGAGGATATCAATCTTACAGGAATCTTCAGTCATCTATAATTGTGGGTTTTGGTACAAGACTCAACCGGAACACTCACAAACCTGCCGAATTAAGTATCGTCTTTAGATTTTGTTATGTTTATAACATTTTAAGTGATATATTAACATAACTATGTGTACTTAATAACTCCGTTATCATTTTTGACTTCATATATTGTTTGGTCCACCATAATTATCTGGTGAGCCTCGAGTGTATTATGGTCGTTATATTGCTTATATTTTTACTTGACACACTAGTTTATTTTTCACATTATGTACTCTCCAAATAAACTTATCGACATAGATTGCCCTCCAGTGAATCCCCTCAACTCGTCGCATTCAGACGATAATATTTTAAGCTCAGTCAACATCATTTTCGCGTTCAGACTACTGGCATACGGTGCCGATAACCCCAGGATCTGGTTCGCGCTAATAGAAGCCTTATTCTTAGCGAGAGGCATACGCCCCCGGGCGACCAAATATGCCTATGTTGTCGGCTTACTTCCCATCGAAACCGCTACGGAAGTCGGAGATTTGATCGACCATGTACCAGAGACTGATCCTTACGACAAAATTAAAGCCGCCGTAATACAAC